CTTAGAGCTGTTGGTAGGAGGTTGATGAAAAACTTGGTTCCCCAAGATTATAATCGGTCTGTTTTATTTGGCCGTAAGAAAATGTTGAAATGTAAGGAATGTAATAAAACAAATGTTGCAGGGTTTTTCATCTATATTCGTGGACGTTGAAATCGATTTCATATATAGTTTTAGGGTGAAAATGTAGTTGGTAGGGAGGGGGAGAGGGGGGGGGGGGAGGAAAACTGTAGCCGACCTTTAAGGAATATTTGTTTATTTGGTTCGACATAAGCTTCAGCAGGAGAGGAGCCTGGAGTGGGTGAGATTATTACCTCGTGTACGAGCTGGTATGAGATAAGAATTGAACACTCAATCGACTTACACATCCCGATGCTTGGTAGGGAACGTTTCTAGGCACCTTCACGGGCTCGCTGAATCGGCTTCCTCTTCTGCACTCCAGCTCTCAATGTTGGAAAAGAGCGGTCTACCCCAACTACATTTTTCGTAGTTTTGTCGTAGTTTCGTAGTTTTGTCGTTCTATTCTATTTCCTAGATGCTGCAGTTCCATTTGTTGTTCAGTGTCAGTTTCGTACTTCTGCACCCCCTTCGTGAACCTTTCATTTAATTTCAATTTCAAAAACTTTTCTATCAAATTTGTGAATTGCCTACTGGGCAATTTTTCATGTATTTAGTGAGCAAACGACCGTTTACTCTGTCGTCAAGATTTGCAGCAGTGTGGTCGTGGCTTCCTGTGAGTATTAACTACAGGGTAGACGGTCGTGGGGTGCTGCGGAAGTAGAGAGCTCACAGAGAAGCAGGAAAGAGTCACCACAAGTTGGGTAGACTGCCGCATCGTTCCTCAAGAACTCAAAGGAAAAAGTTGGGCTGCTTCCAGCCTTGATGTGCCTGAGTCTACAATCAACAGGACGCACATGGCTTTTTCTGACACCAATCAAGCGCATTCCCCTTCAACCAAGCGACGCATCGATGTAGAGGTGCGAAGACGCAAGTAATTCATAAAACTCTATGCTATGGATGCTGGGTCGCAGTCCTTCAATATGTGCCAGCGAAACTGGTTTCAATATAGCGATGACCAGGCCGCAAATAGTGACAGCCGGCCAAAGAGTGTCAGCGCCTCGGATCAGGGAAATCTCCATCTGCTGTGCTATGAAAAGTCAGTGAATGATCTTTAACGGCATACCAGATCGTAAATTATGAAAATTACATTACCAACTGCAAAATTTATGAAACCCATTGCAAGTTTACGAGATGGTGTTCGAAGATATGAAAGAAAAACCATAGTGTTTTTCAGTATATTCAGCATTGACTTCAGCGTTCATAAATGGGGTTGAATACTTGGTAATCATGTAATTAACATGTAAGAGTGTACCAGATTTTTGAAGGTTTTTTGGACGAAGGTGATTATTAACTGTCTTTCTAACCCTACATTTACTAGCCCTCACCTCTTCCTGATCCATTCTCCCACTTTTCAATGATTATGCAGAGGTATTTTGGAGAAGTGGACTGTATTTCAGACGAAAAATACTGCAAGGAGAGAGGGCCGTTGTATAGACTGAGTACTGTCTGAAACTACATACACTCTCATTCCTGAACATTTCAGAGCTCTCTATTTGGGACTACTTCAGCATTTTCCATTTTCTTCATCCTCTTTTTAATAACTGTTCAGAGTTTTACTCCACCAATGTTCCACGTTTATCATTCGTGGCAAATTGTTTGCTCTTTGAACTGAAGAAAACCACCATTAAATGGAGGCGACGCCTTGCACGTTTTGCCAAAAAGAAGTTCGCCCATAAAGCGAAAAGACAAAGCAAACGGCTGAAAGGAAGCATGTACAGCTGGTAAGTTTACATACTCCAATTTTTATCGTTATGAATTCCAGAGTCTCACTGTCGGATTCATTGTCGTTATGTGATTCATGGTCGTTATGTAGACCTCTTTTTTTTGACCTCCAATCCTTTATGAGACATATTAACCATTTCAAGTCGAAAACGTTCAGCCTTTTTGTCTAATTCAAAACTTTTGTTGATCTTCTATTGGTCCACTTGGTAAATCCAATATGGAACAATATAGGGAATCGCTGGAAGAACAGCAACTGCATAGTATTATATTATTAGAAATACTTCTGTGCGCTATTAACTTGTATAAGGTTGAAAAACATCCCTTAATTCTTATTCATTCCTGATTGGAAGAGCTGCACCACATGGAATTGAGACCAGCGAGTATGCCTGTCATTCAGAGCGTTTAATCAGTGAAAGTCTTGTTTTGAGTAAACTGAAGTGTAAGTACATTGATGTCTCTATTTATACAGCGACAACAGTCTGATGCTGGAACTTGGAGCAGAACTCTCTTCGATTGTCCCCAAGTCGGCCATGTTTATTTCGGTGCGTTCTGCTCCGAGCCGGTTGTGCCTTTACAACCGGAGAGGCCTGCTCGACCTAGACAAGGACTCCTTATTGAGGATTATTCGGCAGATGGACGGTAGGGTATTGTATTCAATTCTGAAGGTGCGCTTGGAGTTTGCAATTTTGCGCCAGTTAGTTGACTTTACAGGGGGTGTGACTTACTGTTGGTCTGTAATGGCGAGAATTCCTAAGTTTGTTTGGGTGAAAATTCCTAAGTTTGTTTGGGTGACTGTTTTCCTGAATGGATATTCAAACAGGTTTCAAAGTCGCTATCGTCGAAATGCAAGCTCTGAGAGCTGTGCTTAACCTTTGTTCACCAATTTAATGTTCTGCGAATGTCAGGTCCAACTATTTTCTGCTTTGCCCGAGTGTGTCGTGGAATTAGAGGTGTTATTTTAGCAAATATTACGTCGCTGCCGAAAATGAAGGTTAGAATTTCTGTTTGGACATTTTGGTCTACCTTTTTAAGAAATTCATGGCTTTTCGATCATTTAATCGCATTTTCAGTCTGTTATGTATGACATGTTCATTGATTTTAACAAACATATCGATCGAGAAGACGTACGTGTATTGAAGTGTGGCCGTTCCGTAGGAGCAAACTCAAATACTGCACGTTCTATTCGAAAACTTCTTCCTCCAATGCTTTGTTGCCAGCTACGGGTCAGCGGTTTTTTCGTTTTCCAATGGTCCGTTCCCGATAATTCAATTCTTTTAGATTCACTTCGGCAACAACGTTCATGTGTCTAACTGGTTGTCAGAAATTTACTGTTTATACAATGAAAATCGTCTTCATCCTAAAGTCTTCATCTTCAATGGTGGTTCGATTTCTGAAGGTTTAAACTTCTTTTTTTTTAATATCCGACTTTCTACATATTTTTGCTTTCGACTTTGCTTCCCTTTGTTTTCTCCTTGAACTTTTTTTTTCAATTTTATAAAGTATGTTGCGTTAAACATCAATCAGGGTAATATTGTGTAGCCGCCAGTCGACCTCGTTTTACTGGAGCTGATCTGCAGTGTTTTTCGGAGAAAAATTTCAATGCCGCCATCAGCCTCTTCGTTCCACACTTGGAAGAAGTTCAACTAGCAACGTCTAGGTAAGAGTTCTTTACATAGCCGTATATGCACGCAACCTCCTTCCCGCTCCACGTCATCTTACAAACTCTAATGGCTCTTCTGCTCATATTGCGGAAGAATGCTCGTTTTACGCGGATTTGCTACCGCGAACTTGCACTCAATATCCACGCTGAGTAAACGTGAATTATTCTTGGCTGTAGGCTGCTGGCTAAATTTTTTCTAGGCTGTTTCGGATTACCAACCCGCCCTATTTCTTATTCTCTATGATGGAGTTGGTTTCTGTGTTCGGAATGACTTATGAGCAGCTGCCTGTTTACTTCGATGTGGGAGATATTTGCAGAATTATCTGTGTATGTGGCCGCATTCTTCCTTAAGTTTTATCAGTAATTTTTACAACTCTTTCCTTTTAGCTGTGGCGCTATAGCTCCCGGTCTCATAGCTGCGAAATTTACATACGTGAACCTCGTGGATGTGATAAGATGAACTGGCTACGATATGGTAGAGTAGAAACGGATGAACGAAATCGGGTAAAAGCTGTCAGGGTAACTCACGACACACTTCAAGAAGTCGTACTTACTGTGAACTTTATTTCGATTTGAAGTACTTGCTTTGTTAGTTGCTGATTTCGCTTTGTGTAAATTTCTTGAGACAATTTTTAGCGTTGCAAATCGCTTTTGATCTCATAGCATGCTCAATCTTAATTATAATGTTGCTTCAATGGAGTTCCCCGTGCCAGTTATATCGGGAAATTCCCCGTTGTCAAGCTTCTCGTGGGTCCAGGAAATTGAATTGGTCAGAGTGGTGCTAATTCAGTATGAAATTTATCCATCTTACTGTAGGTAGTAATTGTAATTGTACATAACTGCAAGCTTTTTCCGCAAGCGTTAGTTTTTTTGTAGCGTTCCCATGTATGTCCCAGCGTTCAGAGTAGTATGTTTGCCCATTTTGAGAGCGCTGAAAGCCCGGTGTACCATGTGTTAACGTTGTTCGGGTGTATTTTAGCAAAGCGTCTAGTAATACTGATGATAGCTTTCGTATCCCTGTAGATTTTGAAACAATGTATCATTTCATGTTTCACAGAGTTTTGTAGAGAACTTTTTCATCTAACAAAGATGAAATGAATTTTTCATGAACTGTGATTTACTGGGTCGATCTTTCGCGACTCATATTGGTATGAGCCTGAGTATCTCGTAAAATTGAAGAGTCATAGAAGTCACTTCACATTCATAGACATTCAGACTGAATAGCGCAGCATCGGTTGCTTCCATTTTTCATTTTTCACATGTTCGAATGATTCCAAAAAGAAGGGGTTAAGCTTCAGTTTGTTGCTAAAATACTGTCTATCGATTGCTTTTAAGATTGCCTTTTTTCGTTAGCTTGTTTGTTTGTTAAGGTTTTGTTTTGTGATTGACCAAAAATCATGCGACTCATAGATGCAATGCCGTCTAACTGTTCCGATGATCAACAGAATTTTTTGTCAGGATGTTTTGGGCAAGCTCGTAGAGGTGAGTCGTGTATCATGCGGCCTGATCCATAGTTACCATTTGTTATCAGTGCTTTGTTGAGATATTTGAAAAAGAGTTGAAAGTGCAAAAGTGATGCGAACTGTGATCCATTTATGAGGATTCTATCATAATCTTGGATTAGAACCTCCACAAAGTTGTTAGAGTCGCTGTATTTTGTAAATGTAGTACAATTTTCTTATCTAATTTGGCTCGATTCTACTTTTCTTTGCTGAAGTCAGTGGATTTTTTTGTTCCCTCATCTTTCCTTTCCTTTTACCTGGCAGAAAAATTTTCTCTCGTCACATACTAAAATAGAATTAACAGTCGAACAATAGCCTAATCATGGTGTGACGCTGGATGACAGCCGCTGGTCGCTCAGGTGTCAAAGGGGGACTGCCCCGAAGAACGTCCACTATATAACCGAACAAAGATCCGTTTGTGTGTGTAAATAACGCACCGAGACTGCATGAAACGGCGGTGAGTGTTTCAAGAATGAAATTATGAACAATCATCCTTTTAGCTTTCGAATTTCGCTCGGTTTTTCCCGCTCTTTTGTTTCATTAATTTAATGCTGCCATTTATATTTCAAGAGAAGGCGGTAACTCTATCCAGTCTTTTACCAGTACGTTTTTTCTTCGAGCATGTCTATCCGGGAACGACTTTTAGTACTTTCCATCCAAACATAATTGACGCTCTTCCTATTCTTTTTTGCAGTACATAGGCACTGGCTGACGATTTTACGTTGTCAATATTTCTCCTCCGCAAGTCTTTGGGTAATCTTCGGGAATAAGTTCGTGATGGATCCCATTGGGTTAAGGTCATGAACGTGAATTACCAAGCTAAGACCATAATTAATATGATTACCATTTGATATTCATGTATCTGAATTTATTTCTCTTTCTTCTGTATTAGTGTCAAAAGTTCTGACCTCATGAGTTCATTTTGGTTCAGCATGTTTATCGTACTTGCGGCTGTTGCCACCGCTCTACCCACACCGACCACCAAATCGCCACTGACCAGTGAACAGCCTCAGCTGATTGTTGAAGGAACTCAGGCGTCAGAAGTAAGCCTGCTATTCGGTTCTATTTTGACAGGGTTTTCTGAAGTCTGAGGTGGAATAATTGCTCGATAAATATTGGTTGGCAATTATTTGTGGTTTCGCTGCAGCGTTCCTTTAACAGCACCCTCTCAGCGATACACTTCATAGATTGCTCGATTAAGAGGTCCAATTGATTGGTGAATACGTTGGGTAACTTCTCACAAAGGTATTGAGCAGTGACTAGGTGATTAAGTGGGCATCGTATGCATGCATAGGAAACTCTTGCCTGATTCTTAGCCTGTCGACGTCTCTAGTTATTTGAAATAGCACGAAAAGGAGGTGATCAATCTGTCGGTAGCAGATGTAAACCGAAAACGGGTGTTGATTGTTAATCTGAGGCGTCGTGTCCATAAGAGTCTCTACTACTCATTTGAGAAATTTAATTGTGAAGTGGTGCTTCGAGAGATAAAGAGTTGCGACATCAACGATTTGTTTTCCTAGCTTGTCTGGGCTTAAGCCTCCATGGCCCTACCGCTAAAGCTAACATTAATCATGGAGTAGGACTGGAAAATCATTGACTAATGTGATAAAGGAAATTGACGACGTCAACTGGCGTTGGAAATTTTATATCGAGATCAATCAAATTTAATTACTGTACCTGGGAATCGTTCTCGCAAATGTAGTAATATAATAGCCGCATAGATTCCATGTGATATCACTTATGTATTTGTTTGATATAGTTTGCAAAGCTACAAGGCGATGATGCTGAACTGACGGCAAAGTACAAGGGCGTTGTTGCAAAGGATATGCGAGGTCGCCGAAGAAGTTTGTAGTTTGTTTCCGGTTTTCAATGACAGCTTTAACAACTTCAGCTATGATGCTCCTTTTCAGATCCCTTTTCGGGTTTAACCAGTGGATACGGACAATTAGGACGTGGAATGGGTGGACCATTCAATGGGTTCAACGGCGGATACGGTAAGACCCTTGTTTCTGCAAACTTTCTGACTTCGGAATCTCGTTTAAAAAGTTCGTTGCTGTGTTGTTGATAATTTGAAACTTGCTTGTTCAAGGAATGGGAGGTGGATACGGTGGAGGTGGTGATGATTTTGGAGGAGGCTACGGTGGTGGCCCATACGGTGGAGGTTACGGTGGCTATGGAGGCGGCCCCGATTACGGCGGTTACGGAGGTTTCGGTGGAGGAGGTTATGGAATGGGAGGCGGTCCAGGAGGATACGGAGGTGAGCTTGAGCTTGTTCTACGGCACTTCAACATTTCGCAATACTTGCATGATTTCAGGAATGAATGGCGGCTACGGTGGAGATTATGGAGGCGGATATGGTGGTGGTGGTGGAATGATGGGAGGATACGGAGGAATGGGAGGTGATGGTTTCGGCGGATATGGTGGCTACGGTGGTGGAGGTGGTTTCGGTGGCGGAATGGGAGGTTAGTGGCTTTTCCTTTCGTTCAGTCTCTCTCCAGTCTGAATTGTCTGCTTCTTGATAATCACCATCCTCAGAATTAAATGCCAGTTTGCAGGAAATATGGGCGGTTATGGCGGCTATGGAGGTTATGGTGGTGGCATGGGCGGTGGAATGGGAGGTGAGGTTTTTTCGAATTCCAAATTGATATTCTCGTCAAGTTGTGAATAGGTATGACATACCGTAATATACTCATGAACTCAGTTGAATTTCATCGCATACACGGAAAGGAGGTCTTTCATCTTCCTGATGACCATTTTGCATAATTGTTGTGTAGGATACGGCTGGTTTTGACGCGCTGTTCATGGGCCGATTGCTCATCTCATTGGGACGCACTTACAATTCAGATTAGAGGCAGCGTGGATGACTCCAGGAATTCCTACTTTCTAGGAGACTATGGTGGTGGCTATGGCGGCAGCCCGTATGGTGGTGGCGGCTACGGAGGCGACATGGGTGGAGGATGCCCTGGAGGCGGATGTCGAGGCTAGGGCACCAACGTGTCTGAAACTACGAGATGATGATAGTATTTGAAGTTTTGATCGTTTCATTCCTTTGATGTAAATCTAATTGTAATGCGATCCTTTGTTGTAAGTATTATATATTGGTTAACCTATCAATTATTTATTTCGTCTGCCCTGAAAATCCGCATGATAGCAGTCTATTTTCGTTATAGTTCCGTCCTTTATCCGATTTTCAGACTTGATGCACTGAAATTTATTGGTAGATTGTTTGCAATTTTTGAAAATATTACATAAATTGTATTCGAGTTGTCCTTTGAAAATGCATGAAATAGAAATTCTTTGAATTTGTTCTTCTGGAGACTTTTGATTCGGCAGTTCCGATCGTCTATTTTGTAGGTACGATTGAAAGGATTAGTGCTGCTCAGAAAAGTTTAGTAAACTCATACTCAAGCCGAGGGTACCGTTTACGAAATTGAAGCAGTCCTAGTCGAGTTCCAATTGTAGCGAATTCCGAAATTTTTGCTAACTTACGCTCATCCCTCAAATTGAAAACTAGAAAAATTGAACTACTACAACTAGGAGGTGGACGAGAATATGGCTACAAAAGTTGCATAATAGGGGTATTTGGACGAGCTGTTCAAATGTGTATGCTATTGCGCACAACTGGCAACAGTGAGCTGCCTGCGTGCAACGTGTGCGAACGGCGCGTCTCTACCCTTACTATGTGAAGCGCTCACGTCCGTCTGTCAAAACACGATCGTGGCTCATCAGAAGAAAGCCATTTGTCTGAAGATCCTCGCATTTTATCAAGAATTTTGAGAAATTGGATAGTATCGAAGCAAGCATATCGTGCCTCAGTACTGAAAATTNTTCGAACCACTTCAGTGATAGTCCCTTGAAGAGCAACTATCATGTACTATCAGTTCTCCGATTTCTCCGGACTATCCTATGGTACAGGGGAGACGAGCCCTCAGTCCATTAATCATTCCGGGAATTTGAACTTACACGTTGTTGCCATTTATGACAGCTCGCAATGGCATCGCGCCAACGTTGTCACTGGATTGTTAGGCGGCAGGCTATTATGTTTTTAGGGATGACGTCGGAAGGCGGTGGAGCTGTTGCGTTCCCACTGGTGACACTTGCTCCGAAGTTTGCTCCAGTCACGGCCAGAGATTTTTCATTGATCGTTCAAGCAAAAGGTGAGTACAATATTCAAAGATAGGAACGTTTGAACTTCAGAAATCACTGTTAAAAGGCTTTTTTTCTGAAGGATTTAAGTAATGAGTACGTCTGAAAGACAACAGTCAATTGCAGAGGTAATAGTGAAAATTTTTATTGAAGTGAAGTGAAATTGTTCAAGATTGACCCACCTTTGACTTATTTGTTAGCTTCAAAACCGGTGATTAAGTTGTCGTAGGCGGTGATTAGCCCCAGTTATTCAATCGAATTTTGTGAAATGTTGCCCTACCATATCTATGCCCATGGCTAGGGCCAAGATCCGAGGGTGTGTGAGCTTGTTTGGCAGCAATGACTAAGTATCCTGTGTCCTCGCTCTGACGTGTCAAGCAACCGCTACGCAACCGCGAGCGTTCCATTATTCCAATTTCCAGTGTTGCTCCATTTTCTGTCAGAATTTGAATTGTCAAGCCACAAATTCAATGCGAGAGAAAAAACCTGCTAGAACACAGTCCTTAGGTAGGAACCAGTTTGTAAATTAAGGATCAAGGATAAAGTTTTTTGGCGTTAATCAATCCCTTCTAAGAGATGCGCCCCCGCACTCGGCTTCAATTTGAATTGTAGTGGCGTAATGAGTGCGTATGTGGCCTATACAATGACTTGCAGTGGCCAGCCGATGTACAAGTCAGTACTTTTATCCTCCTACACGAGTCTGGTACAAATTGACCGACCCTGAAGGGATAGAAGGCTTGGCTAGCTTATGCGGTTATCGATCCGGGATTCGGACCCTTGACCGTGCGTGTGACATAATGCGCCACTTGCCACTACACCACCCTTCTAAATAGTGCTTATGCAAAGCAGGTTAGTTCCTCATGAATCTTATCCCTGATTGTGTGGTCAATTAACTGACTGCGGTCAATACTTTTGAAATTCAACTCAGAATTAGGGAAAGTAGTGAGTTAGTCTCATCCGCTGCATTAAAAAGCATCACAGTTCGACTGATCTATAGCCTTTCAGGAAGAAACAGCCGCAGATCTACGCTAATTATGCTTTTTGTAATTTTGAAAATTTTTGTTTAGGTATGACATGGGCCCTTTTTGAAATCGTATTCATGGGTGTTCAAATTGAAAAACGAGCCGTCGTCTTCGGTATGATGGGTTCTGTACCAGGATTCATCTTTGGATCTCTCTTGGTAGGTAAGCTTTTCAAAAAGTTTTTAATACCTTCGGTAATTGTCAATAATCACTGCGTAATAGGGGATTTGACATGTTAAAGCCGTGAAACCCTTGTTAGTAAGGTGGCTAGTCAAAACAGCCGTTACGCAACCGCGCGCGGCAGAAAGTAACAAGACGTTTTTCCAATTCTCCGAATTAGGCTGTTCCAATTTGCAGACTCTCCGCCTTTTAGGTTGATCTGTTTTTCAAGGGGCTTCAACAGAAAATGCTTTATGTCTCAACATGGTCTTCATTTGCTGTCGCTCTTTACTTGTTGGATGCGGAGAAAATCGGAGAACCTTTCATGTGATTCCGCAATTCAGACCATTGAAAGCCTTTGTTTTGTCTTGTGCTGGATTTATAGGATGAAAGATACCGTTTCTGGTGGGAAGGGCGTGCAGCGTAATGGGCGCTTGGGACTTCAGGCGTAAACGCATATGTAGCTTGGTTTCGAGGGCTTCCATTACTCACATACAAATGCACCAATAGAATCATTTCACGAATTGAGTGGGGCATGCTACAGTGAAGCAAATCTCATCCCATTAACCCTTTGACGACAATTGCACTCACCGGTGGGTGAGACTATGACCGGCGCATGGAACGGGCACCCAATGTTGGGTGTTTCGTGTACTTCAGCAATATTTGTGTTGATCCTGGAAGCTCTGGAGGGAGTACTTAGAATCCCTGATTTACGGTCATGTGACCGCGCGGTCGATCACTTCTTCTTTGAGGGCCTTGAATGTTATACGAATTGCTGCTGCTTAGATTATTACCAAAACTCTAACCTACATTGCTCCGAAACGAAAATGTAATTCTAATTCATAATCCATTCTAATTCAGTTCTTAATCCATTCTAAGCCTCAGTTTTATATAAGATAAAATAAGGCCTGATGCCTCTGTTATGCGGAAATGTTCCTAAATTTGGTGAGCCAGGAGGAAGACTTTCTCCTGGGATCCACCGGTGGGTGCCAGTCGCGCACGAAAGCAGGGGCCGTGGTCCCATGGGCGTCCCACGTCGGGGTGTGATTGTATTGCGATTGTGATCGAAATGCGCATTGTAGCATACTCGTCAAAGGGATAAGAGTGATTATACCGTTTTCCTTAGTGGACTATCATGTATAAGCGCAACCAGGGTCTACTGGCTCAGGAGAGCTACTATTATTATCGAGCATTCTTCGTGAATTCTGCTTCTGGAGTTTTCATGGCTTTGATTAGCATTTCTTACTGAGCAGTGGTTCAGCGCAAACCAGCTCCGGTGTTGACATTTGCATATTTTCGATCATCACACTGCTTTTTCGGGTTTCTGAAAAACTGCAACACCGACGACAATCGTAACGAATGGGTGAGTGGTTGAATACTATATCACTGCCACGAACTAGTGGGGCTATGCCTGCTGACCCTTGCATCACCTGTCCGCGACCGCTTTTCTGCAATCCTGCTCAACAGGAACGTGGAAACGCTTCTTAGGTTCTGCACCTCGAAATGTTATACAAGACACAACATCACCCGAAATTCCGCTGGTCTTATATCTACGAATCGACGTATCTCTTACCTTTACATCATAGGGCTGAATTCGATAATCGGTGTATACTATCCTGTTGTGTGGGAAGGTGGCGTATTGCAGCTGGCACTCGACTACATTACATTACATTGAGATTACCATTCCTGTTGCAGTCACTCTGGCTCCAAGTGGAAGTTTTCTTGGATCACATTTCCATCGAAAGGTAAGTGGCATCGTTTTCATGAAGTCAAACAGTTGTGCCCTTTTACAAGACTGATCCTAAAGTTTCGTGGATGTGTTATACAGCAACCCAAAGCCCACTCAAGCGCCTCCCCTTTTTTCATCGCTATATGTTTTCACTTAAGTGTGCTCCGTATTTGTGGTAGCTGTAGCTGCACCGAGTGTTTCTGGAAACGAAGGGTTTTGCGGTTTTGATATGCAGAGCTCACAGTGTTTCCGGGTGCTGAGGATAAATGAAAGCGGCTAGGAGTTACAGTACTCGAGAGAGCAGTTTGGGAATTCCAAATCCCAAGACCTTGAATTGTGTTTGCTGAGTTCTGGCATCCCCAACTATCGTTAATCCCTTCAGGAAGCACCAGCGCCCCGTTGTTAGTAAATTCAAAGCGCAAAGTTGGATGTGTAGTTTGTGCTGTGTGGCTCGCAAGCTTGTTTGTATGGTGATGATAAGTGGAGTATCACCGTCGTAGCTACAGCGGCTTCGTGAATTTACAGATTCGACTGCTGAACTTAGGTTTCGCGTTGAGAGCGAATGTGTGGCATACCATGATCCAACGACCAAACGCGCAACACTTTGATAGCTCTTCTCGCTAGGGTTCCTCCACAAGATAGTACACACAAAGTCCATGCCAAAGATTTATTCTGGTTCCTCAACTCATATTGGAACTTTAAAGAATCACGAGTTTACCGTTGCACATTGCGAAAACTGTTCCGATAAGGTCCGTCTGCTTCTTTCCCTCTGATACGAACCTTCTAAGCTGTAAAGGGTTCTATAGTTCATGTCCCATCCGCACGAGGTTAAAAGAAACCTACAGCGAAAGCTAATCCGAAGATACACAACGTTAGCGCACTAGCGCATGATCGCACATTGGGGAGTACTCTTTCTAGTCGAGGGCAACAGTTATGACAAAGTAAACAGTTTGCAAGGAAGTGATCCGGCTTGGAG